CACAGCTTGGAGGGTCTTTTGGAGCCATTCAAATCAATCACTCTTGAGACATTTTTAACATGGAATTCTCTAAGAATCATCAACCCTTAAATCATATATGCTCAAAGGCCCATATGGTGTTGTGAAAAGTTAGGTTTGTAGAAACAGTAAGTAGTGGTGGTGGTGATGGTGATGGTACAACATGATCTATAAGTAACTGCCAATTTGTCTTAATGAAAAACCTCACAAGATGATGATCCAGTTGAAATAGAGTTGCAATGTCTTCATTGTACACAGAGAAGGAAGAAACCTAAGGACATCAATCTTTTGGTTTTCATATTGATTAACACTAATGGCTTAAAACTCTGATGAAAGCAATATTGTACTGATTTATGGTTTATGAAAGCTATTGACATATGTGGAGACACAATAAGGGATCTTCTTTAGGGATGATTATAATAGATGGCCACAGGGATTATCTAATTATTGAGTAAGCACCAGTGATGAACTCCCCTAATGAAAACACTGCGTGCTTGCCAGGGGCGGAGAGACTGTTGCTGTGATCTAAGTGGGCTGTGCCTTTTCTTCAGTTTTTAACAGAAAGGCTCACTGCGTTCTTTTAGAAGCAGAAAATGGATGAGTGGATCGAGCATTTTCTACTTTTACCTTAACTTCTTTCTTTTCATCATTGGTTTTTTTTTTTCTGTTGAATTCATCTTGTTTCCTTTTTCTTATTTTCCTAAGAATTCACTTTTGTACATCCACCTATAAAAGTAACAAAACCTGTCAATTTAAAGGAACAACATTGTCAACTCTTTGTACTTGTAATTTAGACTTTCAGATGTCAGGTTCTCATATCAACAGAACCTGTAGACTCTGGGTGTCTGTTCCCTACAAGAAAGTCCCCATGATGAATCCTTGTCATTGGAATATCTGTTATCATTTCCATTTTTCTAACTTTGTTCCTGACTAATTTAATTAGGCATTGCCCTTCCTCTTGTCCCATTTCAGACAGAGAAACATTGTTGGAAAAGAAAATCATAGCTGTATAAATAAAATGCTTATTGGCCAGTAGCCAGGCAGGAAGTATAGGTGGGACAAAGACAGAGGAGAATTCTGGGAAGTGGAAGGCTGAGGCAGAGAGACACTGCCAGCCACTGCCATGACAAGCAGCATGTGAAGATGCCGGTAAGCCACGAGCCATGTGGCAATGTATAGATTTATAGAAATGGGTTAATTTAAGATATAAGAACAGGCCGGGTGGTGGTGGC